GAGCGAGAGTTTAGCTAGGTCGAATGTACCTTTAGTTTGTCAGCAGGCACGGACTGACATTCTGCCTTGCGATGTATAATTTGGGGGGGATTCTGTAGTTGGAATGAGAGGCATCTCAGATGAAAGGGGAATGGTGCTTGCTAACGTCAGCCATAGCTCAGAGATGAGGAACTCCATTGGACACCTTTCTCTAAATATCTCTAGTTAGCTCTATTCAGTCTGGAGGTGCGTGTGATTTAGCAGAAGTGTAGTGGAATATTCCCCCTACTTTTGTTATCCTTATTAAATCATAAAATTAATTAATTCAGCAACAACAGGCACAGACAGATATTTTGCCCTGCAGGATATTACATTTATATTTTTTCATTTTCTTCAGATTGTGTGGTTAGCTCGCTAGCATTATTCAGGGCGATGGTTGTGGCATTTTCCCGCATTAGTTGAATTTTCCTCGTGCTTTTGCTAATCTTTTCAGAAGTTATCCTTATCCATCCATTAATTAGGCAATGTTAAATTAATTATATCTGAAACATCAGGCACAGATTTATATTTTATTTAGCCTTGTAGTCTATTACAATAGTTTTTCTTGAGATTGTGTGGTTGGCATGAGTTGCATGGTATAGCTTGATAGTTCTTCAGGTGTGTGCATGCAATTTGCTGGCTGGGGGTAGTGTAATTTTCATTTTGCAGGATGGCTGGTAGCTGGAAGTAGCTTTATTGGGAAGGTACAGGTGTAAATCCTGCAATTTCTGTTCTAAATATTAAAGCATTCATTACTCATGCAAAAAAACACATAGAAATGTGGCGGACTACAGTTTTACTTGTGGGGTAGAGGAGTGCCCTTGCATTTTTAAGAACTTCTCTGCTTTTAAATCCCATGTATATAGGCTTCATAAAATGACAAAACCTCAGAATGAGGCGACTCAACAAGGAGAATTCCCATGGACCTGCCAGGTTCAGGGATGCTCATTTCAGAACCCTATTTTTTCAGTGTGCTCATTTGAGATGGCATCAGAGATGGGAAAAAGGTGTTTTGTCCCCATAGAGGCTGCTCCAGAAATTTCCAGGTCAGGTCATCTTTTAACACCCATCTGAGCAGAAAACATAAGGAGCCGGTTGCAGATCACAGTCATGTCAGACAAAATGTAGAAAACACAGTAGATGATGAGACTGTCACACTCGCAGATGCACATGTCGATAAAGATGATGTAGTTGATGAAGTTGACCAAGAGGCATTCTTGAGTAACTTAGCCTTGTTTTACTTAAAGAGGCATGCCAAAATGCTGTTGCCAGCCAGCACAAAACAGTCCATAATAGAGGAGTTTCAGGAGGTCCATAACGATGGAATGAAATGTGTGCTTTCAAAACTCCACGAGAAGTTGTCTATGCTTAAGTTGCAGGACAGTGAGATAAAGCAAATCATTGATGAAGTATCAGAAGAAGATCTGCTTACAGGTCGGACAAAACACGAAAGCCATTTTTCAAAATGAACTTTAGCTATGTTGAGCCCTCTCAGATTTTCCTTGGTTCAGATGCTAGTGGCAAGGAACGTTTCTGTCAATACATCCCTATCAAAGACAAACTGAAATCTCTCCTGGGACAGTCAACTATGAAAGACCAATACAAACAGGCAAAAATGCATGTCTCTGTTGCCAATGTTTTAGAGGATGTGACAGATGGAAAAAATGTAAAGGAAAATGTACTGTTACAAGAGTCCCCCTCATCATTGTCTATCATTCTCTACCAGGATGCATGAAGATTGAAGTGGCAAATGCTCTAGGCTCAGGTAAAAAACACAAAATCCTGGCAGTATACATGACACTGGGTGAGATTCTGCCCCACAATCGATCATCAATCGATCCCATGCAATTGGTATTGATTTTAAATGTTTTGGGTATGAGAAAGTATTTTCCAATCTGATTGCAGATCTTAAGGATATTGAGGATTCAGGCTTTGAGATAGGGGATGGGGAAACTCTTAAAGGGTAATTGATCACCATTGCTGGGGACAATCTTGGGTCCCACTGTATTGGTGGGTTTACAGAAATCTTTAGCTGTAGTAAATATTTCCTGCCGATACTGCTTAGTTGACAGAGAGACCTTTCAAAGAGCACCTCACAAGCTTGGCCCAAAGAGAACAATCAGTAACTATCAAGACAGTGTTGAGGAGCTGTCCACCACTGACCAATACATAATTCAAGGAATCAAGTTCGATTCTGTGTTCAACACTTTGAACCACTTCTATGTGTGTAAAGGGCTTCCTCCTTGTCTATGCCATGATTTATTTGAAGGAATAGTGTCATATGACTTGGCCCTTTTCATTAAGTATCTTGTAACTGTGGAAAAACATTTCACATATGTCCAGTTAAATAGATGCATGTCACAGCTCAGACATACAGGGACCGAAGCACATAACAAGCCGTGTGAGATCAAACCAAACGGAGAAAAACTTGGGGGCCATGCAGCCCAGAATTGCCACTTGTGTCTCAAACTGAGGGAGATGGTTGAGTTAATTTGTGCCCACAAAATTAGTCACAATCAGATTACATACTTCAGGGTTCTGATTGAAGAATATGTGCATTTGAGAAGCACTATGTTACCTGACTCCAAACTGAAACCAAAGCATCACTACTTGTTACACTACCCCGACCTCATCCTGCAATTTGGGCCACTCATTCGTTTGTGGACACTGAGGTTTGAGAGCAAGCACTCCTACTTCAAGGAGTGTGCCAGAAAACTTCTCAACTTTGCAAACCTGTGCAAAACATTGTCTGAGAGGCAATCTTACTTATGCAATGGCCAATTGTTTCCACATAGCATTGAAGTTGTTGGTGTCATGAATGAATTTGAGGAGCAATTATATAACAACGCTATTCAGGGAGCTGTACAGTCCAAAGGGTTCACAAAGCAAAGCACTGCAGAGGTGTCTAAAGTTGTATACAAAGGAACAACATACACTAAAGGCCTTGTTGTTGTAATGGGAGAAAATGATGACGGATACACATTTGGAAAGATCTCACTGATTCTGATCACAGAATCACAGGTCCATTTAATTGTTGGTGTGTATCAGTCTGTGTCACTGGTCGATCTTGGGTTTCATTTTATACCAGATTCTGTGATTAATTATGTGTGTGTTAATGCAGATAGTCTGAGTGATTATTACCCACAACCAGTTTATAAAGTGTCAGGTTTCCCTGTTGCTTCCCTGCATCACTCAGTGTGTTCTCCTTAAACCAGTGTAGGCATGGAGGGTCTTCAAGATGCAATTAAAAACCAATTGCCCGAGTTGGAGACCGAGACGGTGAGATCTTTGTTGGAGCATCTGAGGGGAAATGTTGGAGTGGAGTATATTAAAGACCTTGAAAATGTTCAGCCGGAGGACATAAAATACCATTTGACATCAATACAGTGCCGGAAATTGCTTCAGTCCTTCAGGCAGAGAGTAGAGATCTTGATTGATAATTTATGTTTATGTAATTGTTATGACAAAAAGGTGCTATCTAGAACCTAAAATGGTTATTTGGCTGTCCCCATAGGAGAACCCTGTGAAGAACACTTTTTGATTCCAGGTACATGTATAACCCTTTTGGTTCCAGGTACAACTCTTTTGGGTTCCATTTAGAACCCTTTCCACAGAGGGTTCTACCTGGAACCCAAAGGGTTCTACCTGGAACCAAAAAGGGTTCTATGGGGACAGCCAAAGAACCCTTTCGGAACCCTTTTTTCTAAGAGTGTACACACACACACACACAAGGTTAAAAAGGTTCCGTAAATAGTTCATTTGTTTGCCCTCAATATCAATGGTTTATGCTATGAGGGAGCGATGCAAATGCAATAAAAGGGACATAAATGACAAAAAATACATAAAAGAAAGTAAAAAGATATACAAATGTTTCTGTAAATTGTTTGTTTGTCCTCTTGTGCTGGGATAGAGTGCAGCGCATAGCCTAACAGACAGTTAAAAAAAATTGAAAAATTAAGAATGGATAGGCTTGTGACGAGCACTGAGTATACGAAGAGGCAGGATGCAGACGCAGGAATTAACAAGGTAAAGGTTTACGTAACAACGAGAAAGAGAATAACAAAGCGTGCGTAAAAGACACAACTCTAACAATTACACACAACAATGAACGAACAGTCCAGGGCTATATAGTGGTGGTGATGAGATGATGAGGTGCAGGTGCGCTGGAGGTGATTAGGGTGCATTGGGTTTCCATTCCTGTGTTTGCCGAGGTGGTGCGCTCAGACCGGTGGCTCAGCAGACCGGCGAATCAGAGCGCCGGAGGGGAGCAACGGGAGGAGACGTGACAAGGCTGAATGGTTTTGATCTGTAAATAGTTTGTTTTTCGGTGTATTTTCTAACGATCTGTCCCTCGACAAACATGCGTAGCCGGCGAAAAGATGAAGAAATATTATTAGTTCATTTTGATTGTACAATGTTGTGGCATAAGTGTCAGAAGAAGAAAAGTTTTACTCCTCTCTGAAGTGAAACAATATATTGGGCAGTCGAATACCTTTCTGTGTCTGGAAATAATGCAGGCAGCAGTAGCCAGCCATGCAGGGCTCTACGCTGACCTTTTTTACAAGGAGTACGTGTGCGCCTATGTTGAAAACTGTTAAAACTGTAACTTCAAGCGGGAACAGACTCAGTGTTCACAATGTTCAAGTTTGCGCTCAGCAGACCTGAAATTTGCTCAGTGCCGAAAACAATTAGAGGGAACATTGGTAAGGACTGTATTTCTTACACATTGTAATTTTTGCCTAAAGTGTTTTATCTTTTCTTCTTTCAAGATTCTGGTTGTCGCTCATCATCCCCTCTGCTTTGTGAGTCAGTCAGTGGTGTGAGTGAACTGCTGTCCCCTCTAAGTCCGGCCTCTTCTTTGCCTACAACAACAATGATTAACATGAGCACATTGTGGGTCAGCAACTTCCAGGTACCTTGGCAGAAGATTCCCTCCAGCCTCAAGCAGGCCATTGCCCAAGGAAAGAGGGTAGAGGCGGCAGATGGTGAGGGAGACTGTTGACGCCATGCGCGAGCACTGCCCCAATCCCAATAAGGCTGTATGCAGTGAAATTGTAAAATCCATTGTAATGCAGTACCCAAAGACGTTTGGAGACCTGACCGAGGAAGGAGAACCACTTGGCAGTGGGTACCACTCCCTGTTCACTAAGATTAAGACCAGAGTGGATCATAAAAATCATAACCGCACTTTAGATAGAATCCGTAGACCCAAGGGGAACAATGAAGAGGAAAGGGACATCAGCGGACAGGCAAGAACTAAGGTCGACAGTTATAGCTGCATCAACTGGCAACCACAGGACCTTCCAGAGAAAGAAACCCCAGACAAGAGACAGACGATGGCGACCATTTTCAGCTGTGTGGGACCCAGAGGTGCAGACGAGTGGAATGGATTACCTGATGAAGCTGACATACACTTATCAACGCCACATGATCAACACTTGTCCACCTCCAAGCAACAGTGACCTCCAGGGACAGTGGCTTTTCCTTTTCATCAAGTTATGGCTATGCGACCACTTCAATACCCTCACTGGCATCGAGATTGACAGTCACCTGACTCAAGCTCTCCTGAACAAGGGTAAGAGAATTGTCTACTTTTTAAAAAGCCAAAAGACCAAGTGAAGGAGAGAGATCCAGTGCCTGCTGAATGAAATTGACAGTTACATCAGAGGCAATGACGATATAAGAACCAATCCATTCTTTTGTTGATGACCCACTTCAAAGAGAAAGACAAATCTCTGTTCCTCTTGGCAGATGTAAGGAATAGTGTTTTTATACTTATAAAGTTTATATATGATTAATGGTGTTTATACTGTACTATTACACATGATTTGAATCTTTTTTTAATGTATGTTTTGTGATTTTAGGTCACTGCAAGTCGGGTTGATGTCGAGGCGCAAATTCCTTTGCCAGACACACCAAGGCTGATCATGCTTGGTAATACAATTATTTTATTTAAGATGGAACAGAAATATATAGTATTGTGGTACCTATCTAGAGATACCTAGTAAGTATGCACTAACACCCTTACTTTTGTGTATTTCAGGAAATACTCTATTGGGTTCCTCAAAATGGATGGTGTCGATCGAGGGGAGAGTGGTCTGTGTTTTGGACAGTGAGTCCAACTTTGCTGCTGCCCTCTCTGTGCTCTTCAGCACATTCTATGTTTTTAACATAGAATTCCAGGAGTTGTCCTCTGCAACCTTGGAGCTGATACGGCGGTAAGCATTGAAGTTTCATTGATCCAACACTTACATTTAGCATCTGTTACTTACATTGCAATTATATTTCTTATTGTTATTTTTTCAATGCCTCAACTGATTTCATATATTCTTTATTGGGTTGTGCAGGTTCCTGGTTCCAATAAACCCTGAAGGAACCAAATGCACACCGAAAGAAGGAGAGAGCCGCAAGACCGGAAAGGTCGTTCAGAGGAAGCCGCAAGACAGGAAAGGTTGTTCAGAGGAAGCCAATGCCAATTAACCCACATGTTACATGGTTCCTTGCAGACCTGAATAAGTTCTAATTGAAAAACTACAACATGTAAGTACACAAACACACACACCTGATGAACACACACACTTTATTTGTCAGTTGTCATCTGCCTTTTTACCCACCAAGTAATAGTAATAGTAATAGTAATAGTAATAGCAATAGTAATAGTAATAGTAATAGTAGTAGTAATATTAATAGCAGTAGTAATAGTAGTACTAGTAGTAATAGTAGTAGTAATAGTAATAGTAATAGTAATAGCAGTAGCAGTAGTAGTAGTAGTAATAGTAGTAGTAATAGTAATCTCTCTCTCTTTCTTTCTATTTCCATGTCTGTCCTCGTTGACGTATCAGAGCTAAGGAGGATCAGAGTTTCAAAGATTGGGGTGATAATCTGCACGCCACCAATACTTATTCAAGACTTGTTTGCATCTCTCATTCTCTCAGAAATCCTACCAACACAGGCGCCATCCCGGAGCCTGTGTTGGCTTGCGGTAGCGTGCCTCTCTGGCTCCAGTCTAGCCCTGCTCGCTCTTCTCTACCCACCCCTCTCTCTCAGCCCCTACCTCTCTCTCAGCCTCTCTCTCGTTTCTCTCTCAAAGACAGGCAGGCAAGCAGTTCTTGTTATAGTTTTTTTATAAACATTTCTCCCTGTTCGACTGTTGTTTTCCTATTTTTCAATTTTCTGTTTTGATCTTTTTTTTTTTTACATAGTCCAGTATTTTCAAGAATGACCTATTCTGATGTCTTGGTTTGTGTATGATGAAGTACATTATTGGCCAGTATTTGTCAATGTTCTTATCACTGTATCTCTCGCTCTCTCGCTCCTACTATCTGGAGTTGTAATGTTTGTGGTTAAAGTGAAATTCATGTGAAATTCATGTTATGAATTTGAAGAAATACATATATATTTGTAAAATTATTGTTTTTCTTACAATATTACATTTCAGGGAGCTGTCTTCTAAAGACAACCTGCAATGTTGCTTAGTACTGTAAAATAATTGTATATTACTGTAGGTATTTCCCTGTAAATTTACAGCATTATACTGGCACAACAGTTGCCAGCTTAATACTGTAATTTTGCTTTACAGCAGTGATGCTGTAATATAGTTTACAGTACTATTTTCCTTACTGTAAATCATATTACAGCATCCCTGCTGTAAATTTACAGCATCCTTGCTGTAAATTTACAGCAGGGATGCTGTAATATGTTTGGGAGTGTGTAAACTTAATTTGTTTTATTACCATAGCATTTTTGTATGTTCTCTATAGTTATGTACTTGAAAATGTATAAATTGACCAATTCGGCCACTTGGAGGCCACTTGGGTACATTTGGGCTAACTCGTGAGGGACACCTGGGAGTCTTGATACAAAATATGATATTCTGTTGTCATCCTTCATTGTATCAGTCTGCAACTTTGCACAGGCACTGCAGCCCTCTTGTGGATAACATCTAAATTACCTCCAGCTTCCTATCTGAATGTATGGCCTTTCTTTTTCATTTCAAAGATGATGCAACAAAAATTATAATTGAAAACGTATGTTTTTTTGTTTGTTTTATCTTTTACCAGATCTATTGTGTTATGTTCTCTAACATAATTTCACATTTCCACAAATTTCAAAGTGTTTCCTTTCAAATACTATCAAGAATATGCATATCCTTGCTTCAGGTCCTGAGCTACAGGCAGTGAGATTTGGGTATGTCATTTTAGGCGGAAATGGAAAAGTAGGGTCTGATCCTTAAGAGGTTAAAGTTGAACATGAATGAGCAATTTACAATTTGCTTAAAATTCTGCTATGAATCAGGTCTGTCGTTAAAGCTGATATGGGTAGAGATTTTTTGTTATGTTTCTATTCAAGATGGTAATGTGCAGTCACCACCCTCTCTCTCTCTCTCGCTCCCACACACACAAAAACACACACACACACACACACAGTTTTATAAGGGTATAAACAGGTGCTATTTTGTGCTATTGTAGATGGCCGGGCGAGGTGGTTGCCAGAGACAGCAAGAGTTCAAACTGTAGAACCCAGTTCCTACATTTTGAATATAAAAATTGATTTTTATCAAACAAGACTACATTTTATTTCTGGGACCCTCAGGATGACAAATCAGAGCAAGATTACTGAATGTAAGTACATTATTTACCTTCAGTCGTGAATCTATCAAACCAGTTGCCGTGATAATTTTGTTGTTGTTGTGCACTCTCCTCAAACAATAATGTGGTATTTCTTCACTGTAATAGCTACTGTAAATTGGACAGTGCAGTTAGATGAACAGGAATTTAAGCTTTCTGCCCATATACAGTGGGGGAAAAAAGTATTTAGTCAGCCACCAATTGTGCAAGTTCTCCCACTTAAAAAGATGAGAGGCCTGTAATTTTCATCATAGGTACACGTCAACTATGACAGACAATCACATTGTAGGATTTTTTATGAATTTATTAGCAAATTATGGTGGAAAATAAGTATTTGGTCAATAACAAAAGTTTCTCAATACTTTGTTATATACCCTTTGTTGGCAATGACACAGGTCAAACGTTTTCTGTAAGTCTTCACAAGGTTTTCACACACTGTTGCTGGTATTTTGGCCCATTCCTCCATGCAGATCTCCTCTAGAGCAGTGATGTTTTGGGGCTGTCGCTGGGCAACATGGACTTTCAACTCCCTCCAAAGATTTTCTATGGGGTTGAGATCTGGAACTGGCTAGGCCACTCCAGGACCTTGAAATGCTTCTTACGAAGCCACTCCTTCGTTGCCCGGGCGGTGTGTTTGGGATCATTGTCATGCTGAAAGACCCAGCCACGTTTCATCTTCAATGCCCTTGCTGATGGAGGGAGGTTTTCACTCAAAATCTCACGATACATGGCCCCATTCATTCTTTCCTTTACACAGATCAGTCGTCCTGGTCCCTTTGCAGAAAAACAGCCCCAAAGCATGATGTTTCCACCCCCTTGCTTCACAGTAGGTATGGTGTTCTTTGGATGCAACTCAGCATTCTTTGTCCTCCAAACACGACGAGTTTAGTTTTTACCAAAAAGTTATATTTTGGTTTCATCTGACCATATGACATTCTCCCAATCCTCTTCTGGATCATCCAAATGCACTCTAGCAAACTTCAGACGTGCCTGGACATGTACTGGCTTAAGCAGGGGGACACGTCTGGCACTGCAGGATTTGAGTCCCTGGCGGCGTAGTATGTTACTGATGGTAGGCTTTGTTACTTTGGTCCCAGCTCTCTGCAGGTCATTCACTAGGTCCCCCCGTGTGGTTCTGGGATTTTTGCTCACCGTTCTTGTGGTCATTTTGACCCCACGAGGTGAGATCTTGCATGGAGCCCCAGATCGAGGGAGATTATCAGTGGTCTTGTATGTCTTCCATTTCCTAATAATTGCTCCCACAGTTGATTTCTTCAAACCAAGCTGCTTACCTATTGCAGATTCAGTCTTCCCAGCCTGGTGCAGGTCTACAATTTTGTTTCTGGTGTCCTTTGACAGCTCTTTTGGTCTTGGCCATAGTGGAGTTTGGAGTGTGACTGTTTGAGGTTGTGGACAGGTGTCTTTTTTATACTGATAACAAGTTCAAACAGGTGCCATTAATACAGGTAACGAGTTGAGGACAGAGGAGCCTCTTAAAGAAGAAGTTACACGTCTGTGAGAAACAGAAATCTTGCTTGTTTTTAGGTGACCAAATACTTATTTTCCACCATAATTTGCAAATAAATTCATTAAAGATCCTACAATGTGATTTTCTGGATTTTTCCTCAATTTGTCTGTCATAGTTGACGTGTACCTATGATGAAAATTACAGGCCTCTCTCATCTTTTTAAGTGGGAGAACTTGCACAATTGGTGGCTGACTAAATACTTTTTTTCCCCACTGTAAGACATGTCTATGTCCTGGAAAGTTTGCTGTTACTTACAACAGTCATGCTAATTACATTAGCGCACGTTAGCTCAACAGTTCCGTATACGGACATCGATCCCGTAGAGGTTAATATTCCTGTCCAGACTGGAGCCTGTATTATCCTGTCCTCTTCTCGCAGGCTCGCTCGCTGTCCACTGGATGCCTCGTCCGCGCCAGGGCACCATGGCAAGGACTGACAGATGTAACAATAGTGTCAGAATAGGATGTATTTTCTAAATATACTTTAAAAAAAATCTAAATCACATGAACATAGTGCCAACCTCCCGAGTGGCGCAGTGGTCTAAGGCACTGCATCGCAGTGCTAGCTGTGCCACTAGAGATCCTGGTTCGAATCCAGGCTCTGTCATAGCCGGCTGCGACCGGGAGACCCATGGGGCGGCGCAAAAATTGGCCCAGCGTCGTCCAGGGTAGGGGAGGGAATGGCCGGCAGGGATGTAGCTCAGTTGGTAGAGCATGGCATTTGCAATGCCAGGGTTGTGGGTTAGATTCCCACGGGGGGCCAGTATGAAAAAATTAAATAAAAATGTATTCACTCACTAACTGTAAGTCGCTCTGGATAAGAGCGTCTGCTAAATGACTAAAATGTAAATGTAATGTAAATGTAACAAGTCAAATGTCAAGTAAGTACACAGGAAAACACAGGCAACAATTATGTGAGTACGGGTGACCGGGGGTGTGTGTAACACTTAATAGCCATACAAGCTAGAGTGGTGTAACTTGCTCTGCACAGCTCTGTTAAAGTTTCATAAAGGACAGTTCACTAAGACCAAGTGTAGCCTAATTCTAATCTCAGTCTTATTCAATAGTGCTTATTCAGCACTAGTGTTATTACTACATTGATTTCACAGAATGAAATGATAGCTATACAATGTAAAGGTAGGCCTAACCTACCTTCCAAAAATGATCTTGATTCATAATCCATAACTATCCAGATGCATTAATATAACATACACTATATATACACAAAATGTGTATGTGGACACCCCATCAAATTAGTGGATTTGGCTATTTCAGCCAATACGGTTGCTGACAGGTGTATAAAATCGAGCACACAGCCATGCAATC